TATATTCACCATCATTCTACAAGTTTTCAAGCATTTTTGAAGGACTAAAGAATAATANATTTACCAAATTAAATATAGGAACCTAAGCAAAAAAGAAATAAAGTAGGGGCAAAAAACTTATGGTGCATATTTCACCTGCAAAAAGTTAGGTTAAGGTAGGTATTACCAAAAAGCGTTTAAAAGTATCTTGATTTATTGGAAACATATTTTAGTATATGAAGTAATAAATAACAAATACAAGGACATATTTGGAAGAATAAACCCTTTTGGTTGGCAAGCTAACAAGATAGTTACAATGTAACTGAGGACTACAAAACTCTTTACATGGTCCCTTGTGTATAGTATATATAGTATAATAATGCAATAATTCTTTTTCTGTCTTTTTTGCTAAAATTTCTCACATTTAGATGTTCAATTGATTTCATCTACTTGTTTAATTCCCTCTAAACATACATATATGAGACACGAAAATTTTGATTTTAATTCTAGTAAATTGAATAAATTAGAATTACATTTCATGTGAGAAAAAACTCTAAAAACAGACGATACTGAACACAGAAAGTCTACTTTGGTTTGATTTTTGTATTAACAAACCGTTGGTTTCACTTTCTTTCAGGTAAACTCCCTCATCTTCCCCAAATTATCAAAAGAAAAAATAAAAAAGAAAAAACTTTTGATACGTCAATGGCCATGTTAGGACTCTCTTCAAACACAGGAATCGATATATTGTCATCTTCTTCCAATTCCTTATCATTTTATCATAGCACTCGCTTCATACAATGCTTCTCTCCGAAAAGCCTCTGCAAACGACAACGACAACGACAAAGATTCAGCATTTGCAGTTCCTTGTCCTCTGCCAAGATTAAGGTTGTCGGCGTCGGTGGCGGCGGCAACAATGCTGTTAACCGTATGATAGGCAGCGGATTACAGGTTATTTGCGTTAATGGCTTTTTTATGTATATATCTCCATTTTCACCTTTCCCCCTAATTTTGTTGTTTTCTTGTGTCTCTTTGTGCAACCCCACAAAAATTAAGTCTTTGTTAATTATGAATATCAAATTGGTTGGTTTTCATTTTATTTAGTATATGAAATTAGAAATCAGCCTTCGCAATACAATTGATTACTTGTTCTGAAATACTAATGGATCTTGCAGCTACTTAATTTGTTCTTTTGACCGTTTTCCTAAGTGGTAACCAAGATTTATCCTTCTAATACTTTTTATTTATATTTGCATAATAATGGTATGAGATGATTTAAATGGAGTCAGTGAGGATTCATATAACAGACTCTAACTTGTTTGGGACCGAGGCATAGTTGTCCCTGTCGCTATAGCTTGTTTTTAGCACAACCACACAATCACTCTTTTTCTTCAATAGAGTTGAGATTTGCCTTTTGCTTAAACAAGATGGTAGCTAGATTTGGATACTCTGTCCACTCAAAGATGCTTTAGTTCCGGTTTCTTCTTGACTCTGTAATGTTCTTATGATGGCCATATAATGCCTTTTCCAGTAAAAGGTCTATAATATGCAATGGATCACATGGTTGTGTACTTTGGATTCAAATTATACTGTTACATTGTATTCTCAGTCTGCGAGTTATGCAAACTTGTGGGGTAGGAAGAAAAGCTAGAAATCACTTTTATTGACTGTTTGATCTGCCCTTTCTATATTTATTACTCGGTTTCTTGCCTCTTCTCTGCTAATTAGTTGATCCACCCACCATCAAAAACTCAACCTTTTCCCTAAAGGCAAATATACTCCAATTCTAGAACATTTTATACATCACATTTAGCTGTTAGCATCTTCATTTCACATGATAAATCTCAATGTTTCATGTTCATTAATAGGGTGTTGATTTTTATGCTGTAAACACGGATGCTCAAGCATTGCTGCAGTCTACGGTTGAGAACCCAATTCAAATTGGAGAGCTTCTGACTCGTGGACTTGGTTCGCACCTTTTCGTCTATCTGTAGAGAAATTTATTCTTCAGAAGCTCTCTTTTAGAGCAGCTATTTGTAAATCTAACATATAAGATTTATTTATTTTTATATCATGAATCTTGTTGGCAAAACTTTAGCGAAAGAATAGCAAGACGCTTATAGTATGATACTCAGCCCAACTCCAGAGACAGCTATAGATTATTTCTCTCTCCTTAATTCAGAGTCACTCAGAAGATGACAGTCTTTTGCTTTATCTATGTTATAATTTGAAGTCATACGTTGCTGTAGCTACTAGGATGCATTTGTTTGCTAATACGTTTTGAGGCTAGTGTTCTTTGTTAACATAAGCATTTAACCCTTTATTGTTCTATAGAATGGGTTGTTCATAAAAGTCACTTCTAGAAATGCAGGTACTGGTGGCAATCCTCTGTTGGGGGAACAGGCAGCCGAGGAGTCAAAGGAACACATTGCAAATGCTCTTAAAGGTTCGGATATGGTGTTTATAACAGCAGGCATGGGTGGAGGTACTGGATCTGGTGCTGCTCCTGTTGTTGCTCAAATAGCCAAAGAAGCAGGTTATTTGACTGTTGGTGTCGTCACGTATCCGTTCAGCTTTGAAGGACGTAAAAGATCTTTGCAGGCAGGTGCCGTTTTCATCCTCTTTGAAGAAGCTAATTGTGATTGTTGCTCTCCTGAACTTTTGGAGATTTCTATCTTATGACATTTAAGTGACATCCAAAATAAACAGGTAGGATATTTAAGGGAATAGAAGAAATGTAAGAAATTAAAGAGCAAGAAGTTAAAAAAGATATAATTTGGTCTGGTTCAACTATTTGCTTCAGATCCAAAAAATGGGGTTTCTGTCCCTCTATAAGAACTAGAAATATTTGTGGTTAAATGCAATTTAATATCCATGAAATCTTCGAGCATGGTTAGTGTGGAATTCACTTAGTTTAAATATTATGCAGAGTATGACAAATTGACAACAGGTTGGCTGAGGCAGTGCTGGGAAAGAAGATAGTAGGGTAGCATGATGGTTGTTTGGAGTTGTTTTTAAACGTGTCAGTGAAGTTTTACTAAGTGATGCTTCAACTTTAAGGCATAATGCTAATTGGATCCAAGGCATCTTAGGGTATGTTAAGGGGTTTCTATCAAATTAAGGCAGAGTTGCTGGATCCGCTGTTTGGCTCCTCGATACGGAAGGTTTGGGGGTGTGGTTTACCATATGTGTGTGTATCGTGGGGGTGGGGTGGGGGTGGGGGTGCTGTGCTTGGGATACACCAGCCTTTATTAGAAGAAAATGGAAATATTCATAAATAGGTGGCGGTTGGTGAATCTAAAGGATTTTGAGTACTTTTGAAGGCAACATTTTTCAGTAGTCTAAACCTTAACAAGATTCTCAGAGTTCTAGTAACTGGTTGATTTTTCTTTTCCATGCCACTATCCTGTGTTCCTATCTCCCAAATTATTTCATGATTATAATTTTAGCTTAATGATCTCCAGGCACTGGAAGCAATTGAAAAACTTCAGAAAAATGTAGATACTCTTATAGTAATTCCCAATGATCGTCTTCTGGATATTGCTGATGAGCAGACACCACTTCAAAATGCTTTTCTTCTTGCTGATGATGTACTTTGTCAAGGCGTCCAAGGAATATCTGATATAATCACTGTGAGTTCCTTCATCCAAATGCAGTATCTCTTTATCTGCTTCAAGGAAGTTCTTTTCTATATCAGCTAAGGTTCCATAGAAGTTCTTTTCTTTTTCTTTCAGTATCTGTTCCACATAAGTTCTCTTTTGAAATTTCATGGTATAGTTTTCTTTATATAAAACGTATATGCTGAGTAGAGCGTATCGGAGACAAATGATTCAAATAGCCAACTCAACTAATCCCCTCTCGATCTCCCTGTTATGAAACACACTTGCGATCACATTCACAGAAATAGGCGTTGTTATTTTGTTGTCAACTAATCCCCTCTTGATCTCCCTGTTATGAAACACACTTGCGATCACATGCACAGTCCCAGAAATAGGCATTGTTATTTTGTTGTCAACTAATCCCCTCTTGATCTCCCTGTTATGAAACACACTTGCGGTCGCATGCACAGTCGCAGAAATAGGCCTTGTTATTTTGTTGTCAACATTGCATTTTTCTGACTGGAAATAAGGTGCAAAAATGATAAAAATTCTAGCAGTGAGTGCAGGATGCCTTCCTCTCCCGAGTCCGTCCAGTTTAATATCATCACTGTCATTAGCTGCTTCTATGTTTTGATTAATGACCATCGGATAGGTTTTCTGAAATAAACTTATATCTCCAGAATGTTATGTTTGTCTAATTACGAGATAGCATGTTTTGAACATTATTTCACTAGATACTTATTTATAGATCTTGAAATAAAGTTTATTGTTAATCCATTCGTTTTGGTTGCAGATACCTGGGCTGGTAAATGTGGATTTTGCAGATGTAAAGGCAATCATGAAAGATTCTGGTACTGCTATGCTCGGAGTTGGGGTTTCTTCCAGTAGGAACCGTGCTGAGGAAGCAGCTGAACAAGCAACTCTGGCCCCTCTCATTGGATCGTCAATTCAATCTGCAACTGGTGTTGTATATAACATTACTGGAGGAAAAGATATTACTTTGCAGGAGGTGAATAAGGTGTCCCAGGTGCGTCGAACTTTCTTTTACTTATTTTATTTTTCCAAACCTTCAACTATACATGTAGTTTCACTCTATTCCAAAAAGTTCTTAAAAGAAACCTTCAGCTTTCACGAACAAAGCGGTATTTTTAATAGTCATTGCTTGGCAATACTTCCTCACAGGTTGTCACAAGCTTGGCTGATCCATCCGCCAACATCATATTCGGTGCTGTTGTGGATGAGCGCTATAATGGAGAGATCCACGTGACTCTAATTGCAACTGGTTTCGCACAGTCATTTCAGAATTATCTTCTAACTGACCCTCGAGGAGCAAAGCTAGTTGATAAGAGCAAAGGAACCACAGAAAGAACTTTATCACCTGATACCCTGAGGTCATCAGACTCTCCTTCCACGAAACCTCGACCAGCTGTTCGGAGGCTGTTCTTTTAGCTCCTTCTTAGTTTGTTCTCTGTCCATTCTTTTCTTTTTTTTGAATAATTATTTTTTTAGGATTCCTTACACTTATTTGTACCGCAACGGGTCAGATTTGTGTTTACATGTGGCTGTAGAAATCATGACGAGTTTTATGATATGCATACCGTCTCTGGTCTGTTTTTCTATTACAACACGCCTGTAACATTTTTATATCAGCTGATTATTTCCTCTCTAGCAAAGCATGGGATTCATAATACATCAACTTGGTTAAAGTTGGTTGCTCTTGTAATTTTCACACAAACAACCTATTTATAACAAGTAAAATTGCANATGATGTTTTTGATACGACGGAGTCATTTTTCAGGTAAGAAAGTTTTTCATGAGAAAATCATAATTCTGGTGTATGGGTACGTAAGATGTTCTTCTAGGTAAAACATTTTCTATCAAAAGGTAGGGAAATGACTTTACTCGCTTATGAATGGTAAGTCTTTTTTATAAATATTTACGTTTTTTTTTTTTAATTTTTTCTTCACTTGCTTCCACAAACTATTAGACATTATTATCAATCTTTATACTCAGAAAATTTCAGCAGACCGCTGTTCGATTTGCTTATATTTATTTTAATCTTTAATGTCTTGTGCGTTGATATTTTTTAGTCACCAATTAATTATCTAAGTAAATATTTTTCATGAAAATTGATTTCCATCGTACTAAAAACACTTTTAATGAAAAAGACAGGTGTGCAGAGAGCATTCTATTATCAATCGCGTGTCTCCTAATCCGTATACTACTCTTACTCTCAAAAGGTAAGAGTGCCAAAACTAGTGTCATGACTCATGACCAAAAAAAGATGCTCATCAACTTCTCTATTGCTTGCGGGAATATCAATGTTTTTAAAACTCATCTATTCGTTGCTCAAAGCGAGGATTTATCAGCGATTTACGGAACTTTGCGCTTCATACAGTGGTGCACAAGTGATGCCAGAAAGAATCGGTCGCTTCTTTAAATCACGACTGTTCAAGAAATTGGATTAAATCAATATAATTGTCTATTAAATGCTAATTTTAACTGCAATTTAAGTTTTACTGTAATAAATATATGGATGTTTGATAT